CTAACAGCGAAGGAAGGAAGAAAATTACACCGGAAAAAGGTGTGGAAGATTCACCGGAAAAAAGGCGAGGGACATTCCCCGCACTCAAAGCCCACGGCCAGCTGCAGAGCCGCGAACTGTAAGCAGGGTGGGAACATCTTTTTCAGTCAGGCTAATGGGGAAGAATTAGGTTATAAAGTAAACTTTATTAAAATTTTTGAATGCTTAAGGAATTAAATTTTTTTTCCAGAAAGTATTCTTTTATAACCTAATTCTTAAAGGACCAACACACAAAAGTTCATTTGCAACCCTGGGCTCTGGCGAAGAGAAGGTAGAGAGGACAAGTCATGTGAGGAGAGACTGGGATTTGTGCTTTGGGCTAGCCACAAGGGTAACTAACTATGTTGAGTTTCTCTCTTACACCACAGACACCATCTTTGTTGAGTGGAGTACATCCCTCAATGTAGCATTCACCTGGGGAAGAGCAATAGTTCCACCCTCTGGACTTCCTATAGGCCCACACTATAGAGCTTGCACCCTGTTGAGGAGTCAGCTGCCTGGGCCAGGGTATAAAAGTCTGGGAAGACTCAGGGGGTGTCAATGACTAAGTTGTGTGATTTTGGGTTGGGAACCATTCCTCTCACATTCCTGTGAACTTGACAGGTGCCTCCCCATCATGGGCTCTTGATGACCCTCTCCTCCTGAATCCTGGTCACTCCACTCTTTGTAAGGTCTGGGCAGAATCAAGGACAGATTGAGTTGTGTGACTCTTAACTGGGGCCCATTCCCTCCACTGTCCCTCAAACCTGACCTGTATTTCCCAGTCACAGGTTATTTACTGGCACCGTTTCACCTACTCTCAATAGCGTTCTCAGGTACCAGGCAGCAAGAGAAAAATAACATCATTCCATTTGATCCTCAGAAGTGTGAGTCCCTGAGATTCACACTCATTACCACACTATCTGTTGGTTCTGGACTCAGATATTAGCAAATCCATTTTGCAAGAGGGAAGAACCAGGCCTAGCCTCAGGGGAAGAGCTGTCTTGAACCAGAGTAAGCAAGAGGCTGGTGCGGGCACTCAAATGTTGTGTCTTAGAATCTCTGGACACGGGACTCAGGCTGTGAGCTGACAACTTTCACAGCCACCCTGCCAGGAGTTATAAAGCATGGGGCAGAAATGAAAGATTCTTATCCATCATCTGAGTCCTTTTTCTAGTGTCTTCCCCTATACTGAGACTTACTTAATGGCATCAGCATATTCTGGAAAAAATATAAAGCAGCAGTGCAATAACTGGACTAGAAAAGTACTTATATTCTTATAGTACACCCAGGCCAAAACTTTTATGTACATATAGAATTAAATGAGTGTTTTTTGCTGTGTTTAAACTATATATTATATCTCATTCATGTCTTATTCATCCTAATTGAGAGTAAAACATTTGAGGGTAGGACTTTGTCAGAGTGCCTTGTACTAAAAAAAAAAAAAAAGTTTTATTGAATATTTGTTCAAAGTACCTTCCACATTAATTCACAACATTATCATGATACTCTTGGGAAGAGTTATTAGTCCTATTTGAAACTGAGGTGACAGACTCACACAGAGGTGACTGAATTAATGGGAGTCTGAACAACAGCAAGGATATTATTTCTTTGGTGATGATGATGAGGCTTAAAGAGAGCCAGACACTTGCTGGAAATCCATAGCTAGACAAAGGTGGAGGTGGAGCTGACTCCTTGCTGGCAATGAACCCTCTCTACTGTGTAGGGCTTTGCAGATGAATATACTACAGTGTAGAAAAGACACGTGTAGAGTTCCAGCAGGATCTCCTAACCAGAAGAATAAAAAAGATTTTGCCGTTTCAGGCTGGCTAGAGAGGCCATGCTCTTCATAGTGGGGATGCTTGGCTATGACCATTTCTCATCCTATATAATAAAGAGGTAATATGAAAACTGACCATCATGCTCTCACAAGATGGTTGCCTATGACAAGACTGGTGGGGGGGATTAGTGAGGGATGACCAAACAACTGAACAAGCAGGCTGTGTGGGGTGACCAGGATGGCAGGGGGTTAGTGAGGGGCTACCAGGCTAGCAGGGGGCGGGGGCAGTTGGGGGTGATCAGGAAGGAAGGCAGGTGAGTGATTAGGAGCCAGAAGTTCAGGATTATGAGAGGGATGTCCAACTGTCAGTTTAGGTTCAATCTGGAATTGAGCCTAAACTGTCAGTCAGACATCCCCCAAGGGGTACTGGATTGGAGAGGGTACAGGCTGGGTTGAGGGGAATCCTACCACCCCATGCATGAATTTTGTGCACCGGGCCTCTAGTTTATAATAATGAAAGTGTAATATGCTAATTAGACCAGTTGTTCTTCTGGACATCCTTCCAGATGATCTTCCAAATGAAGCTGGGGCTGTGAGGGCCAAAGAGGCCACCATGCTGTGAGGGCCAACCCCATTGCACTAATTTAGTGCATCAGGCCTCTAGTACATAATAACAATGCATCAGCTTCCCACATGAGTGACATTGAGCATCTCAGGATCACTGATTCTTGTCATAGAAGCTCCATCACTGGAGGTTTCCAGGTGCCTCTGTCTCTGTTTTCCAGGTGCTTACTCCACATCATACCTCCTGGTCTCATTTGGTATTACAAGAAATCTCTCAAATCAATCTTTTTAAACTACATAGGATGTATGACAACCTGTGAGGGAGCTGCTGATGTTCAATTACAGGCTTTTTAAACTTTAATTTAATTTTTATTTTTTTTTAACATGTCCATTTTTTCTTTTGGGGTTTACCTGGAGAGAGAGTTGAAAAGAAGACATGTGTGGGAGGTAAAATGCCATGGTCATTTGGGAGCCCTGTCTGGAGTTGCTGTTTATGATTTACTGAAAAGAAAATGAACTACATATCTACCATCCATCTTGCTCAACTGCCAGGCATGTGCAGCTCCAGCAGTGGAGAGGGCCCGTGGGGATCCTTGCAAACCTCCACTCTGGTTTGAGAGCCATGTATATGCTGCAGAGAAATGAAACTCATGGTCCATGGGCCAGCAAGGAATTTTCCTGGGACACACAAAAATATAAAACTACAAGAACCAACTCTTAATTTTGGCATTAAAACTCTCTTCTCCTCCATGATGCCATAAATGAGGTCCAAAAGTTTCAATGGGAAAACACAGCTCATATTACCAGTATGTTATATCAATGTCCATCTATGTGAACTCTATCAAGGATTTGCTATAACTGTGAATGATACATGAAAGGAGTAACCCAGAGTAGGTGGAGTTAAAATGTGAATATTATCATTGATTTTCAATGAACAACCCCATTTTTCTTCTTTATTAAAGACCTGACAGACAGTGGAAAACATACATCCAGCGGAAGAACAAAAGACATGCCACTCTTTCTCTAACAAGAAAAATGCTCAATATCACCATGGAGGGAAGGCCTCTTTGGCACCTCAAAATGTGTTTGTAACTTAATTCTTACAGGTGGGTATACAGCAGCCACCTCAGTGGCTGTAAAAGGTTGTTTAAGATTGACAAACAGTACTAGACCAATATGAAATTCCGTTACTGTCAGTGGTAGCAATCTGGTTAGGAAAGAGACTAAAATCACTAATAAACTGAAATCTGGTCATCTTGTCCTTTATTAAAACATATTGGTAATCAGTTCTTTGTGCTGAAAGCTTTAAGCAAAAGAGAACTGAGCAACAGAAAAGGACAGATCAGGTTTCTTACACTGGGGATTAGAGGAGGGCAGATGGGTTCATAAAAGGCCAATCCTCCACACTTTAAGGTTCAGATGATAAATAAAACCAGTGGATATGGTTCTACTTAACATTTCTGATTTTCTTCTTTAAATTAGGCAGAAATTTGGCTGGCTCATTTTCTTTTTCTTTCTTTATTTCTTTCTTTTTTTTAATCCTCACCTGAGGATATTTTCCCATTGATTTTTAGAGAGCATGTGAGAAAGAGGGAAAGACAGACAGAAATATCAATGTGAGAGAAATATATCAATTGGTTACCTCCTGCATGATCCCCAACCAGGGCCCAGACAGGGGAGGAGCCTGCCCTTGACCAGAATCAAACCCAGGACCCTTCAGTCTGCAGGTAGACACTCTATCCAATGAGACAAACTGGCTAGAGCCATTAGTCCATTTTCTTATATGGCATTTTTACTTTTTCCATTTATAGATTCCATTTATAGTTTCACATATTTCTATATGTGAAACTTAAAATGTCCTTTGGGTTTTTAATATGCTAATCACAATATTTAAACCTCATTGGTCAAAGTTCAATCCCTAACCACGCACGAACACCCAAACATGCCTTGGCTACCTCAAGGTGAATCACCAAAGTCTCACTGAGACCCCAGCTTCTACCAGCCATTGTTCCAGGTTGAGGGGTGGGAAGCTCAGCTATATCATAGCCAATAACAGACTGTTCTGGATGGCCCTGGAGCCTCTGGAACATACTTGCTGAGAAGGAGCCAGCTCTGCCTGCATTTCTGGACACAACCCAGGGAGCAGGGAAGCCTCCCCAGCCCCATCTGCACTAGGAGCGCTGGGAGGGGCTCTGTGGAGATGCCGAGGCCCATCCCACTAGCAGTAGCCCTGTCTCCCTGAGACCTGACACAGGCAGACAGTTCAGAATCTGGCTGTCTCATCTCTGCAGTGCAAACAATCATGGACTCCATTTCCTCCAAAAACTTCACCTTCAAAATGTTCATCTATGTCCTTTTCTTTCCTTTTGACACAATTTTCCCTTTTGGAATCAGGTTACTAAATCATTCTTCCTAAACTAATTTCTTTCACAAGTCACTATAAACTTGGCTCCCAAACATGCTGCCAGATATTTCATGACCTTCTGAAAAGCAAATGGGAAACCCAAAGTAATGCGCTCGTGTGTGCGTGAACACACACACACACACACACACACACACACACACACTCACACACACCAATGTGACCACCCTCTGCCCAAACTAAGAGCCCTTCAACATTCATCAAATGTGGCCTCACCTTTCCAAAGAAGTGCTGAGTGGACACGGCGAGCGCCTGGAAGCCACAGATGGCCCGTCTCAGCTCCCGCTGCACAAGGCCCAGCTGCCTGACCTGCTGCTCACTCCTCTCCTTCAGCCGCTGAACCAACTGCCTCTCGGCTTCACGGGCCTGTGGGTCTGGCTTGGGAGAAAATCCGTTTCGGGGAACCGTGCTCCTGTGCTTGGGGTATCCTATTAAAAAAAATAGTCACTTGTGAAAAAACCATGCAGCCCCAAGGGGACAATGCTCTTCATTACAGGATTTCTTCAAGAGCAGGTGGCCAACCAAGAATGGTCATGGTTTGTCACTGTCAGTATTAGAAAGAAAAAACAGACAGGGACTTAAAATATTTGCTCTGCTTATGTGGTTCTAGGTGCAAGTTTCATGCTTGGAAAAAGAGTCACAGGCCAAATTGCCCAATTCCTTCCAGCTTCCTCCATTTCCTCCAGGTCTGCTTAGAGAGATTAGAGTAGATGGTTTATCTTCAAGGGAATTACTCTTGGAAAATGTCTAACGGGAAATAAATCAATCAGTGTAGGTTAAAGTCATAGTTGTAAGGTAGTAACCTTTTAATTGAGCATCAGGGAGTACTGCCCACGTGCCCTTGCCTCCCTTTCTGTGGTCATCTAGTGACCCTTTCTTTGATGTCTGATGCAAGTCATGCCTCTGATGGCCTCTGCTCCAGGGTTTTCTGGCTTTAAATTTCTACAGCATCAATGTCTTCCAAAATATTCCCCCAGGTGACCACTCACACCACCTCCACGACTCCTGGTTCAGTCCAAGCCACCATGACCTGTCACCTAGGGGAAGCCCTGCTCCTCTTCATCTCTTGTTGCACAGATTATAAAGGATAATCTTTATAAAAATGGAACATCTCATGGCTTGTGTTGACCCTTTCCTCCAATTATTTTCCACTGCAGTAAGAAAATGCTCATTCCTTCCCCTGGCCCAGGAAGCCTCTGAGATCTGGTTCCTGCCAGGCAAATGGTGGGGCATATGAATGGGCAGGGTGATGGAACACAGGGAAAGGAATGTGAAACTCTGCTTGGGGTTGGGGACAGGATGGGGAAAGGCTTTAAGGAGAAGTTACTATTAGGCTGAAGCTTAGAGGCTAAAGGCAAGGCCCCCAGGAAGAACACAGACAAGCACTGTATCATGGTCCAAGGCCCTGGGTAAGCCAGGGTCTTCCTCAGAGTTGTTGTCCTCCTCATTGGAGCTCAGGCTGACCTGACACCCAGAGAACATCTACTTTACATGATGTACTTACTTTCCCAAAGTGCACTCTTTCCTTTGCCCAAGTACATCCTGGGGCACATGACAGACACTGACCACACAATCACAAATATCTTTAATACCTCAAATATTCCTTTGTCTCTTCTTGCTCACCTTCAACATACTATGGAGTAACACATAAAGCAAATCAATACCTGATACAGACAGAGCACCCAGCCTCAGTGTAGTAATAACATCAATATCAAGTAAGCACTGTGAGGACCCAAAATATAACTTTCCCATCTTTTAAGTTCTTCTAGCTGGGCTAATAATCAAGTCAACATGAGACAGATTAACAGGAGAAAAAATGTCAGAAGGTTATGTTACAGATGTACATTTGAGGGTGCCAAAAGTTATGAGACCCCCCCCCCAAAAGAAAACATTAAATGTCATCTTGAACTAAGGAGAAAATGGGGAAGGAGGGCAATTCACATGGAGATGGAAATGAATGTTTGGTAAACAAATGTGTCCTGAGCCAACTTTAACAATGGGACATAGAGAGGACTTTGAGCCAAGGGACCTTACTCCTCCCTGTCTATCACACCTGGTTCAGATTAAACTGCAGTTATCTGGTTATGGCTCACTTCCTGGAGCAGGTACTTTACCTACATTTCTTTAGACATAGATGAGTAAAGGAAGAGGGTCAAAGGTTCTTTCTGAGTCTTTTGTTCCATAAAAACCAGCTTAAAATAATCAATATTCCAAAAGGCTTTCCTTAAGCACCAAGAATAGAATTTCAGGAAATCATTTTGTATTGTCCATTTACAATCCTATATAATAAAAGCCTGATATGCTGAGTGTCAGGTTGACCAGTCAGCCATTCAACCAACCAAAACGTAATATGCTAATGATATGCTAAGGCTGCTTAACCACTCGCTATGACATGCACTGACCAGCAAGGGTCAGACAGTTGACAGGTAGGTTAGTTTGCTGCTGGGGTCTGGCCAGATGAACCAGATGGGCTGGCTGAGTGAGATGGTCCAGATACACCCTGGAGCCCTCCCATGTTCCCTTCCCAGCACGGGGGGGGGGGGGGGGGGGGAGTTCTTTGACCTGGTCTGCACCCTCTTGCAAACCAGGACCCCTCAGAGGATGTCAGAAAACCGGTTTTGGCCTGATCCCACAGGCCAGGCTGAGGGACCCCACTGGTGCAGGAATTTGTGCACTGGGCCCCTAGTTGAATATATACTTGCTAACCTAATAATGATGATGATGATAATGATGATGATATTGATAGTAATCCTATCTAATAAAGAGGTAATATACAAACTGACCGTCACTCCAACACACAAGATGTCCGCCCCCAGGTGGACACAAGATGGCTGCCACAAGATGGCCAGCAGGGGAGGGAAGTTGTGGGCAATCAGGCCAGCAGGGGAGGGCAGTTGGGAGGAACCAGGCCTGCTGGGGAAGGCAGTTGGGAGGGACAAGGCCTAAAAGGGAAGACAGTTGGGGGGAACCAGGGCTGCAGGAGAGGGCAGTTAGGGCTTACCAGGTAAGCAAGGAAGGCATTTAGTGGCAATTGGGCTGGCAGGGGAGGGCAGGTAGAGGCAACTATGCTGGCAAGGAAGTTAGGGGTGACCAGGCCAGCAGGGGAGGGCAGTTAGGGATGACCAGGCCTGCAGGGGAGGACAATTAGGGGTTACCAGGGGGAAAGCATTTGGGGGTGACCAGGCCTGCAGGGGAGGACAATTAGGGGAGACCAGGCTGGCAGGGGAGGGAAGTTAGGGGCAATCAAGCTGGCAGGGGAGCAGTTAGGTATCAATCAGGCTGGCAGAGGAGTGGTTAGGGGTGATCAGGCTGGAAGGCAGGCAAACAGTTGGGAGCCAGCAGTCGGACATCCCTTGAGGGATCCCAGGTTGGAGAGGATGCAGGCTGGGCTGAAGGACACCCCCCCACATGCACAAATTTTGTGCACTGGGTCTCTAGTAGTAATAATAAGAGGGAATAAACCTGACAGCCAAAAATACACAGCAATCTGCTTACTATCATCCACAAGCTCACACGTGACTCTGTATGTCCTAGATTGCAATTAGCTTTAATTCATTGAACTAAAAGTGTGCTTATGATTTCCTTCAGATTTCTAAAAGAAATATCTCCTATAGTATCAGTGTCAGGCACCTGGTACCTCAATAATTACAACACTGGAGTGTTTGATAAAATCACCAGCCATAGCAATAAAATGGCAAACAGTAATCTCAAAAGAGCCCAACTGGGGTCTTAGGCTGTGTGTTAGAGTTTAATACACACAGTAAATCTCACATAATTTGTTGGTAGTTATTTTTTTTTATGTTCAGTATTGAGAATATTGAAATCAAGTACATATTAACATTGATTTCCTACAATGTGCAAGTGAATTTTCTGGAATATTATGTATGTTACTGTCATAAAGACAGCTTTAAAGAAGCAATAAGTTCACATTCTACTATTCTATTAAGCTATCCAGTTTAAGATATGTCATATGTGAGGCCACAATGGAATCTTGGATGATTTTGTAATAGGAGGAAGATATCATTAAAACTGTCTTGGATACTGTGAAATTACCAATCAGAAGTAGTTAGAGCATGAAATTCATGCATAGGTAGGGTCCCTAGGCCTGGCCTTCCGGCTGCTGGCAGGGGCCTTTCTTCATTCCGTGTCACCCCCTGGTGGTCAGTGCATGTCACAGAGAGCGATTGAACTCCCAGTTTCCTGGCCAAACTCTCAAGGGGACATTTTGCATATTTGCCTTTTATATATATAGACTTCATTCACACACTCAATAGACTTCTATTGAACACCAGTACACTCAGTCCACATTACTATTCCTATGATCAACAAACATTTGAGCTAAGATACAGGCTTCCCTGAGAACATCAGCTTTTGGTATCAACACACCAAGCAAAAGTTTAGCTGATTTGTGGCACCAAACCAATGCTTGCTTGGGACTCGTGGCTGGCTGCACATGTGCCACCCAACCAACATCCCAGCATAGAGTAAGGCTCAGAGTGCAGTGCTAAGACTGTAGGAAGGAAGCACGGAGAAATAGGCTGGCCATGGAGAACTCTATTGCTTTTATAGGAAAAGGGTCCTGCCCTTTCTAAACATATCAGATGAAACCTTATCTAGGTCTAATCAGGATTTTACCATCAGTAGCATATTTTTGGTCCTCACTAAACACAGTATTTTTTCTTGTGCTGTCACTTTTTGATATGTGTTTCTTTATCTAACATCATGAAGTATTACTCTGTCACTTCCCTGCCTGCTCTATGAGAGGCCATCCTCAGATGGTGCACAGCAACAGCCGCCCAGGCTCACCTATGGTCTTGGGGATGGGGAACTTATGTTGAAAAATGATTGACACACAGCCAGCTTCACCCATTTCATTCAAATGTAAGGAAGATTTTGTTTACTTCTGCTGTCTTCTCTTAAAAGTTAGCACATAATGAAGCTAAATAATCTGTTTAGGAAGCAAGATCAAAAACTCGTGGTAGCAGTGAACACAGGGAACATATAGGAGTGAGTGGTAGGCACTGGAGGGGATGTGGTGATGGAGGCTCTCTTCTGACCTCTCACACACATTTCCCCGGGAAGAACCACAATGCAACTTTAAATGAGAGGTCCACTATGTCCTCTGAGGACATGTCCAGATGCTGAAAAGTTTTGTTCTCACTTCCTTCCATGTTCCTTGCGGTATTTACATTGCTTCTGGGGGAGAGGAAGGTTCCCAGCAGGCAAGCATGCCCCTGACCTCCCCCTGCAGTCAGGCAGCACCACTTACATGTGAGTGTTTAGGATCTTTTTAAAAAAATCAAAACTCTGGCCTCCCACTCTATCTTCTGATTTCCACTCAGTTGAACTAGGGCACTGACATTAGTGAACGAAGACCATCAAAATAGGGTCTATGATGGTTTTAGAGTCTTTAATTGAAGTGAAAAAG